GGTGAACGCGCACAGGGTGAGAATAGCCAAAAGACTCGCCTGCACTATTCTCACCCCGGGTGAGAATAGAGGTAGCCTTATCTAAAACAGAAACCTGTCCTGTCCAAAGCGGAAACGGAAAGAAAAATCCGCTCCCTTCCGAGGGTTTCACCTGTCTAAGACGGAAAATGCTTTGACCGCTCAACCCTGATTTGAAACCAAACTCGCAAGTTTGATTCCGCCAGCTCTAAACTTAACGCCATGGCTATGCCGCTGGGCGAGAAAGGGGAGTAGGGGTGCTAATTGGGGTAGATGTTACCCCATCATGCAGGGTTCATTTTTGACTCGCGCCATACGCCAGGTAGTGCATTGGGTCAGAAAATGACCCATTGATTGCACAGGCACTAGGTCAACGGGCGCGTTGTTCACACAGGCAGCCCACAGGTCTTTGCTGTAAAATTTCAGATCTCTGCCTGTAGTACATTTTACGTACCAACTTAAAATTACCACCCATCCATTGATCATTAAACACTAGAGCTGGAAACTAGATCACGTATTCAAAATGCGAGTTGCCGGCATGCGAGAGGCGCATGATCGCTAGGCGGCATATGTGTCTAACTGAATAGGCTACTGATGACTTAATTGCGGGTTTTCCCGATACCGCTTTGTTGCTTTTACTGAGTTTTAGAAGGGGTGAGCGGTCGCTGTAAAAAGGATATCAACGCAATTCAACAAATTCCACGCAAATATTAGTTAGTCTTAAAGATTCAAAGTAATAAAGACATTGAGAAAGTGATAGCAGAATTAGATTCTGCACTAAAAATCACATACAAGATGCCAAGGTTCATTCATTTACTCCATTAATTACTGACTTAAAACAGTTTTTCCTCAAAATACCAAGACATCATGTCCCCCTCTTTTTAGTTCTTGGCGATATTTTCCTTTATGAAAGTCCCCCAAAATTTTGCAAACAAACATCCCATTAACTTTTTTTTTTATTGGTCAATGGATTTAAAAAATAAAAAAAAACATAGTTCTTAGAATTTACCCTATTTTCATTTTTAAGCCTGTTTTTAAGCAATTTGGATCAAAATTTATTTTTTCATTGTCATTGCTAGTCGAAGGGAGGGCAGGGATGGGAATTTCAGGCATCACAAGCTGACATTGTTGGTAATTTAAGTCATTATTCCACTCTTTCTCTGTAAAACACTGACATGACTTACACTTTAAATATCTTACAAAAACAACCGAGAACAACTCTCCATGCATGTTGCCTACAAACTTGACCCATCGCTCACAAGATTGACCCATTGATTTTGGACTGAGTGGGTCTATTGACCCATAGTCATTTCATAGCAAAAATGAACCCCTGCATCATGTGAGCCCTGAGCGTTGCAGATGGTCTGCGTAGTGTTGGTGTGAAATCTCACGACTTCCTGTGAGAGTGCTAGAGTAGCGAGCCACTACGGGAGCTTTCCTGGGTAGCCAGAAGCAAGAGGTGGGAAATTAGATTGACCAATGCCTGCCACCTTTAACTTACGGCCAGCCGAGAAAAGAGTTTTTCGAATCGTTGTTACAATGAACAATAATGGCAGTGAGGGGTGGCATTGGTGGGTGGGGCTAAGGGAGGAAGCAAAGGAGATTATATTCAAACGGTTCTGCTTTTAATTGGCCAAACAGTGTTCCTGTGAAAGGCAAGCACTGGTGGTAGTTGGATCAGTAAGACTGACACACATGTCATTATCAGACTGGAAAGCAATTGAGAGGTGTGAGGTTTTGACC